CGCTCAGGTAACCTACCTCTGTTCCCAAGTTGTTGGTTTTTTTTTACTTGTAGTTGCATCTCGAGGCTTGGGTAATCGGTAACTTTAAATAGTCTGTTGGTACCCATCTGATTTTTCCCGGGGAAAGGAAATATGCCTGTCTGTGATTTTTAAAAACAAAGCAACCCCCCACCCAGACAATACTTTGAGAGGCAAGGAAAGCAATTAATGGTGTCAAAAGACCCTAGGAGGGTGAAGTGCTGAGTGACCGAGGGCTGGACTGACGCAGGAACGGCTGGGTGGGTAGCTGAATGTGTCTGGGGAATAGAGGGTTATTGACTCAACCTCCAGCTGTGTTTCGTTAGCTGGAATCATAACCCACAAAATTAATCTTTAACAATGTATAAAGGGAGCGGAGTCCTAATACATGAGGCAGTTCTGCAGTGCCCTCAACGCTCACCCTTGCAAAAGCTTTGGAGAATTGCAGAAAGGTTTTACTTTCTAGTTACTCTAATTAAAGAGAGGATAAGTGATGCTCTGTTCTCCACCCCTCTCCCCCATCCAAAGGGTGAGGGAGGTCCTTGTTACGAAGGGAAGGTGCAAGCTCTGAAGAGGTTTCCTCTGAGCTGAGTCAGTGTTTGTCCTGAAAGCAAATGTCTTTGACTCCTCTCAGGCACCGAAGAGGTTGTTGGAGGATTTGTTGGATGGTCGGGGAGAGCACCAGTGCAATAACTCTGCAGCAGCATTTTGGCTGGCTGGCTGTATTTCACCTACAGATGTACGTGCTGGTACAGGTCCTCAGTGGGGATCCTATGTTCCTCCTGCTCTCAGGGGTATAATCTGTTCCTTATACCACCTTCTGTCTGTACTCCCTGGGCCAGGCACCTGCCAGGCAGGCAACCTGGCTTTGCTGGACTGAGCCATAAGACATATTTACCGCTACGTATAGTTCATCTTTTTGCTGGGGGTACTGCATCTGTACTAACAGCTGTTGGCTCTGCAGCTATAGAAAGTGCTCCTTCTGACCCATTGGTCAAAACTGTCCTACTAGATTAAGCAAGCCAGCTGGCAAAACACACCTTCCCCCTTTTCTTCATGTGTGTAAAAATGGAGTTATTTAACAGAGGGGAGCTAGAGTCCCCAGATGCCTGGCTGTCTGGCAGTAGGTGACTATTGATTGGGTTGTTTTCCCAAGCATCAGACATCCCAATGAGTATCAACAAATTGGGAGGCAGTTTTCTTTTTAAAATATTCAAACCTTCTTATAGGGTTCATGGTTCAACATCAGCATCCCATTAATGTATGAGATCACTCTGTAATGACACTGTCACACAAATACAAGCTTTTTTAATGTGAGATTATGAGGCTTACATCAAATATCTATAAATCCTAATGTACCTCCCCATATATAGCAACGCCACTGTAGTCTCCGGGTGTATTCTTGCACATAACACTGCTCTGCTAAGTGCATACTTTACTGTCAGCCACTGCGTGCCAAGTGGTGGTTGATAACCCTGAATCTGAGTAACTGTAGGTTATCTCAATATACTGCTCAGCTCTGTAGGTACATGCCTGTCCTGTAAGCTGTCTGTACGACTGGCAAAGGACTTTAGCAAAAGCCAGAGTCATAGGAATGATTCCTTGGATGGAGCGCTTCTCACAAATGAGTGGGTTTTATTTGCAGCTTGGACCAGTGCCCTTTCAAGTCAATGGAAAGACAATTGATTGTAGCAGGGTCTGGACCGGGCTTCTGGCTACCCCTGTGCTTAATTTAAAAGTAATGTATATCTACTGGTGAATGCCTCTAAACAGATTAAGAAAGTGCAATTGATTCAAAACTGACTGCAGATGAACGGAGAAGGCAAAATTGATTGGCTCAGTCTATTTTAATTTTCTGGGAATGGAGAAACGTAATAAATAAATAAATAAATAAATAAATAAAATGCCCCAAACCTAATGGCAAAAAAATGCAAAGTACAAAGTAAACACAACTTTAAAAAATGCATTGCTAGTGCTGGAATGCAGGTGTTTACAAGGGCACTGGAACCACTGTGGCCCTCGTTCCAATGTTGTCCATGTCTGGTCAGAACAAAAGCGCTACAGGTCATCTGTGACCAGAGATTGCTGCAGATGCAGGTTCTCTTTCCCGTTCACGTCCATTTGCTTGTCTTTTAAGGGAAGAAGCTCTCTGTGTGTTAGGTGATATCTATCTATATAAGTATGTATATACATATTTGTATATTACATATATAGGCGTATATATATATGTGTGTGTGTGTGTGTATATATATATATGCAGCAGCTTTAGGTGTAAGGATACAGTATACAGAAAGGCAAAGTATAAGCATTCTGAGGAGCAGGGGAAAGGGGGAACCTGTGTTCCTGGTCTGGTGGGCTGTTTCTCTAGGTTTAGTGCCTCCCTTTTTGCTGCACTCTCACTCTTGTTAGGGCTGATGAGTCCCTGGGCGGTCACTGAGACCTGGTAACTGCTCAAAGGTACCATAATGGCCATAAAATGATTTTTAGTATCTGATCAGTGCCGTTCTCTTTAGTCTGTGAAGTCACAGCAGAGAGTGAATTGCAATTATTCTGAAGCGGAAATTTGCACACCCTCCCTCCCCCTTTCATTGTTGTGATAAATTGCAACTTCAGAAAAAAAATATATATAAAGCTTTGGCATGATAAAGCTCATGCTGATATCAAGTCCTAGCTTTTCAGCATGACTGAAGTCTGGTGCAAATAGTGCCCTCCTTGCTTTTCTTTCCTTCCCCTCACTTTTCCCTTTCTCTCCTCTTCTCCCTACTGTCCTTTTGACACTGTGCAAGCTAAAGTCATCACTAAGATGGCTTTAGATGGAGGGTAAGCTCTGCGCACGTTCTCTGTATGCACTGGAGCAGGAAAGGGGGCAGGGGTGGAAATGCACCTAGTATGCAAAAAGTATTTAGGGGTAGGAGATGCGCAATTTATATTGCATGTGCCTCCGGGGAACAGGCAGTGAGAAACTTCTTTGCAAAGGGCCACGTGAGTGGATCTCTACTACTGTGTAGGGGAGCCCACAGGGGTGAGGGAAAGCGTTTGCTGTTTGTCGCATAGGTGCAGCTGGCCCCTCACACCATAGCAATTCACCTTGTGCAGGTGGGTCTCCTGAGAGTCCCCAGCAATATTCACAGTTAGGATATCCTCCTGTGTGTGAGTCTGGGCATTTGGACTCACTACAAAGCCTGTTGCAGCTTGATCCAGGTTTTGTACTTGGGATACTCAGAGATGTAGGAGCATTCGCCTTGTTGCTGTCCACAGGTGTGTTTTTCTTCTTCATGTCTCTCCCAATAAGAAAGTGCATGTCTTTTTCCTTGTATACACGCGTTTTCCAATTTTTAAGCCAGTTTGGCCCACTGCTCTTCTCTCCCCTGGGTGTCTGCTGTTCAGAGACAGCTGTGTTCTTGGCTCGGACGTGCATCAGAATGGGAAAGCTAATGTGCCTCCTTGGGGTGATGCCTTCCAGATGGATTTAGCTAATTGTCGCAACGATTAGGTCTCCCCTTAATGACCACAACTGGAATTTATTGACAGAGGTAAACAAGAAGTTTTTGTTTTGTATTTGTGGAAAGTTCTTAATTTGTTTAATTAAAAAAACATGGGCTCTTCTATCACTTAGTCTTCCTCCGTTCTCCCCTGCAGGGAGCCTGAGTGGCTTTCCCGGGACGTTTTCATTTTGCCAGGTTTATTTGGAAAGTTGGAGTGGATGTTTCAGAGAAACTGTCATTAGTTAAATGTTGCTCTGCACTTATTTGACCTGTTTCGCACACCTTTCTTCCTTTTCTTCCAGTCCTTGCTAAAAACATGTTTCTTTTCTATGACTTGTCCTACTGAAGGAAGTAAGCCTACATACCTGTACAAGGAACGTGCATGAAACTGTGCTTCAATTCCCCTCGCTGTGGTTCCCTTCCCAGTTTCATGATTTTGTTTGCTAAAGTTTTAAATTCTGTGGGGCAATGACATTACAGTCTCCCTGGGTTTCCAATGTACATCTTCCACTGTATGTGCTCGTATTATGGCTCTCGGTCTTGGTCAATCACAGATCGAGCTAGACACTCCAAGTGCTAGAAACATGTTCTATCACAGTGAGAGCTAAAAACCCGACACACTCTAGCTTAGGCTGCACTGGGCTCATATCTTCTTGTGGATCAGGCACAAAGGGTGCAGGGACAGAGTAATCTGTAATACATTCGCATTACATGCAGAAGACAGGAGGTTGGGACCAGGGTCGTGTTGTGCTAGGTTCTGTACACAAATACACATGCCGTGAAAAAGCAGCTTTTCCCTCCTGGGAATTTTCCTCCTGTTTATTTGTGTCTTGTCAGGAGTGAATTGTTGAGGGAACTACACTGCCAGGACCACCTAGGGAAAGTCTGCACAAGGCAAGACCTGCTAGATTCATCTGAACATGCAAACGAACAGTGAAAAGTAGCCTCGGTAATTCAAGTTGAAATTGATGTGGACTGTTCACTGGTGTGAGAGACAAACCTGCTGCTGGCTGGCATAGGCAGTTTTCCCTTTGCAGTAAAAAGTGTTCTGGATTGTCTGGATCACATCTTCCCTGGGCTACTGGCGAAAGTTTAATTTAAGCTATTCTGCTATGTTAATGTGCAACATTTGGTAGGGAATACTCTGGAGAGGGAGATTGGTGCCTAATTCTGCTGCCATCTTCTTTTCCTGTTGGCGTGGATGAGACGCAAGCTAGGAGTGAAGAGGTGGGGAGAGACTGGAAGCGCATGACTTGGATGTTAGAACTGGAAGAACTAGCTATAGATAAACCTCTTCTGAAAAGTATTTTGCAAAGCGAACATAGCCTTTGCCCACCCAACATACCAGTGTGAAACCTGCGGTGACTAACAGCATTGCCTTCGCAGGGCAGCCATTTGAGAGGAGCTGCTTGGTTCTGGGTTGCCTAACCAAATTCTTGTTTTTCTTCTCTTTTCCTCCTTCCCTTTCCCATTCCAACTAATTCCATCCTGTGCCAGAACCGGGGTCGCCTGGCAGAGAAGAGGACGATCCCCTTACCCCCAACCAGGATCCCGAAGAAAGAGCTGACCTCAATTTTCTCGCATAGTGACGACAGCGAAGAGAGTGATAAGAGCAATGGTCAACACCCTGAAGTAAAGCAGGAGGAGGATCTCCATATCAGTATCATGAAAAGAAGGTACTTTCCTGCTAGGGAGTGCTGCATTGCAAGAGCAAAGACAGAGAAAACTGGGCAGCAGGTGACCAGCTTTTGTGGGCCAATACTGCCCAGGCTGCCCAATGGAGTAATCTCCAGAGCCTGAAATTAAAGTGCGAATGTCACATTATAGCTCGGAAAGCGTAGTTGGGTCCTCTTTTCTACTTACTCACTCCTGTTCGGGGCGAGTAGGGCTCTATGGGGCCTTGTACCATGGGCCTTGTGTTTGCACTAAAGGCATCTGGATTTGCAGACTGTAAATTCTATTTCACCCTCTGTCCAGCATTCTGTATCTTTGTGCCTGGTGAGGCCAACAAATTTCATGACCAGAAAGTTATCTGTGGGCCCTTTACATAGCTGTCTGAAAATACAAAAGAGGTGTATGAGTCCAAAGTCCTGCCTTTTGCTTTCAATTGTCCCCAAATCCTGATGTAATATAAACTGGATAATTTAGCGTTGTGGAGCAAAGTTTGGGAAGGAGGTAGCAGCAATGTTTGTTGTTAAATGTTCTTGATTACGAGTGTCAAAGAGCGTAGCCATGTCTCACTGATCATGAATGCCTCTGTAGTCTAAAAGGAGAAGTAATGGAGTTACAGTAGGCAAAGAGTCACTCAGATGCTGGGGTTTACCTCAGTGCTTACATGTTTTGATCGTGTCTTTCTCAGTACCATATACATTCATCCTGGAACCATGCAGGTTAAAGGAAGAGAAGAAAGGATTGTCTTGAGTTACATTCTGGTAACTGTCACTTGGGCTCCCATGTCTGGTCTCAGTGCCCATAATATTCAGCTGCAAGATTTTGGGTTCTCTCGTCCCTGTGAGAAAATATGATGTTTAGAAGACCTGTAACTACAGGAAAATAAATACCTGAAGGCACTGTGTTTCAGCCTCCCATGCATATCATTGCAACTCATCTTGATTGTCATCTTCCTCTGATGCATAAAATCACTCAGATTCTAAGACAAGCCCTATAAAAACAGAGGAGTGGAAACCGAAGGCATGTAATTGCTTTTCGTATGTTTTATGTGTTTCTTGCTCCTGAGTAGATAAGCTATTTCCCCCCTTGCCTTCCAACAGATGCTGGTGCATTCAGCAACTGAGAGCTTGAAAGTAGGGAGACAAAACAGTAACCAGCTCTTCTCATAAAACCCGCCTGTAATTAAAGTCTGGGTTTATCATTGCAGCTGTCCAACAGCCATGTTCGAGGGTTATCGCTTGGAAATAAAAAGGTGTTTGGGGAATGCATCTGCACTGTGCATGTGCACAGGAGCCACAGAGGAGAGGGAACCCTCCTAATCAGTTTTGGTAAACTGCCCTTCTTCTCCTGCCCCCTTTAATTATGCTTTTAATTCTGCAAAATTATAGTGCTAGATTGTCTCATTAGGAGGGAGAACAACATGATAACTATATAATTGATATGCTGGGCCCCCAAATATAAAGTGCTCTTATCTTAAATCTTTAATTACTGTAATTGCTTTGCCTTGTTTATTAGGAAATGAATTAAAAATACTTAATAGTTATTAGCCGGTGGTCCCCCAGCTTACCATTTCTGTGCTCTTCAGTGCTTTTCAATCAGTTTGTCTGAAGGTCTCTTGTTTAAGCTTTGTCTTGATTCCTTAGAGGAGTGCATGATTCTTACCAGGTAGGTTAGACTCTCATTGCTTTTGTACAGTTGTTCTCCTTTTCATTTTCCTGGGAGCTCTGATACAGCATGTGGGGGAAAAGCTAAAATAGCTGGGGCAAACAGGGGCCAGGCAGCATTCTTGATGAGTGCAGTAATAACAGGAAAAAAAAGAGCACGTAATTCAGTGCTTGGTGCCCAGGCAGGGAACACCTACTGCTCAAAGCCCTCAGCATTTCCAAGCATTTTGCCCCTTGCAAATGGGTCTCCCAGCCCTCCTGTCCCACAGAGAGGGAGGACTGGCCATGTCCACCTGCTCAAGAGCAACAAATGGAAAGCAACCTGACCCCACTCTCGCACAGCCCTGCTGGGGAGAGCAGGCTCTGGCTCTGTTCCCAGTGTCATTAGCAGCCCAGGGACTGGGGTGGAAGGTGTGATGGGGCTGGCTCCAGAGACAGCAGCAGCAGCATCATAAAGGCTAGACAGCTCGCAGACACGACAGCTGGGGCCCGGCAGAGACAGTGCCCCATCTGCTTTCTGTTTTTAATTCACCTGTTGTATCCTCCCCGATTGGTGATGGATTGGGCTGAGGTTTTATTGTCTCCCACTGAGAGGAAGAAATAGGTTAAACTGTGATAGTAGGAAAACAAGGTCAGGGCCTGAGCAAACCTGTGTTTTCCTCTTGTACCCCTGGATGGCCCTCATGGATGCCTGCATGCACTTAGCATTATAAACGCTTGCATTATTGCTTTGAACGTTGTTGCCTTTTCTTTTTTCTCCTGTTCCCAATTTCCTTTATGTTGACCGTTTCCTTCCATTGGTGGCACAAGGGAATGGTTTCTGCTACTTCGAGTTCTGGGTATTGGTGAAGAAAAGACTAGGGATTAGCATAGGAGTCGGAAGCTTGGTTTCTTGGCTAGTCCCTCACCCTAGCCTTTGACAGTGATTTCGTCTGTGGTCTTAGCCAATTGCCCATGGTGGTGGCCTTCAGAGGAGGTCTGAGGCAGAGAAAACCTGCCTCATGACGTTCTTGCAGTCCTAGAAAGGAGCAGAGACCTGGAATCACCACTGAAGTTAGTGCATTTCAGTGCTCGCCATCTTAGTCCACGACCAAGTCCTTGCAAAACTGTGTCACTTTGCTGTCTTGCACATATGTAATAAAGTTAAGGAAACCAAGCTTCATGCTGAAGTGAGCTTGGCTCATCTACTTTGAAATCCAGGTGACCCAGTCTTAAAGGTGAATGTTTTCATCTCGTAGTGAGACCCCTTGAGTCCTCTTTAGCAGGCTTTGCAGGGTGTGCTAAGTAGCCTTTGTGTTATGCCTCCTGTCTGGAAGACAGAGGGCTTAAAATCTTGTCTCATATAACCAGAGGCATCTGCTGAGCTTGGTACCGTAGCTTGATACCCAGACTATAAGCACTCAGCTCTGAAGATTAGTGGCACAGCATTGCAGAGGAAAATCCTTCTTCTATTGATCAGGTTGTGGGTCCCTGAAAATCTTCCTCTTTCGCAACATTGCCTACATGCAACAGTTGCATTGCCCTAATTACTATGGTTTGGTTAAGTTGTACTGACTCCTAGTGAGAACGCTTGTCTGGCTATGAAAATAGTTTTTCCTGTTGGGGGAAAAGAATGGTATCCGGATAGGGCATTTCTATACCAATGACCTACGTCACCTGTATGGTTATTTTAGTCATACTAATACTGGCATAGCTGAACTCGTACAAGAACTATGTAGAGCAGACTTCAATTAGAAACTTTGGCTTCATGAAGCCTTTTTCCTCTCTCGCAGACTGTTAACTAAGCTGCCTCTCTCCAGAAAGCTAAACTAAAAGTTATGCCAGTCTGCTTTTTTGTTACCGCTCTCTGGTTTATCCTAGACACAAAATAAGCAATGCAGAGGAAGTTTGAGACTACACATTCCATTGCTCTGCAATAGTTTGGGGAGCATTAACTTCCTTATACTCATTGGGAGATTCCAAGCGACATTGATAAATGCATTACCTCAGGAACAGCCTGTGAGCTTTCTCACACTGAGGTTCAAACTGCCTTTAAGGATCTCCATTATGTTATCCCAAGAATCTCCAAACAGAGGAAAGCCAGTGTAGCCAGAGAGTAAGGCTCAGCTTTAACAGTAAGATCCTCACATGCTGTTGGATTTAAGCCCAGCATTGTCTTGTGAGTGCATAAATTTAATTTCTGTTTTCAAGACTGGCCTTTTTCATTAGTAGGGGAGGGGAGGGAAAGAGGAGAAATGTATTGATAGCATGTGAGATTCAACAGGGTAGGTTAGGAACTGCTCACACACAGCTTTGTCTAAGTCCTCGGCAAAATGTGATGGCATGGCTCATAATAAGAGGCAGTGATGCTTAAGCACCTGTTTAAAATGGTGAAGGTTTTTGACCTGACCTGTCTCTGAAGGAACCGTTATGGGATATCAGTAAACATGTACACACAAATGGACGTGTGTGGCGAAAATGCCTTTGAAATTTTTTTATTAAAAAAAAAGAGGATTGGGACAAAAAGTAGGAGCAGATTGTACAATGAGAGCACACAACGGGCAGGGTTCCTTGCCAAATATTACTCTGAAATAAAAGCCATTTTGAGGAGAAATAACAAAAGTTGTCCTGTAACAGGGTGTCTGTGCAATGAGAAGCAGATTTCTGGAGAACCTCATACTGCCCTTAAGTCCTTCCCCCTTTTTTTTTGGCCCCCCCCCCCCCCCCATCCCCGAATCTTCTCTGGCTGTGTCAGCAGTATGACCCCGGTGTCTAGCACCTGGCGTGGGATTAGCGTTATTTCAAACGAGAGGAGAGCATTTGAAATGAAGGTGCTTATTCGAGGAATGGTGGAACACTGCCTCCTTGCCTCTATTCACACGTGAACATGGATAGAGTCCAGACAGGGGCGAGTTGCTCACCCCTGTCCCCCAGCATCCCTCACCTCGCAGACCAGCTTTACAGCATTCTCCTCACTCAGCGTCCATTTTCTAATAGCAAAATTACTGACCTCCACTAAGCCTTAATGGCTAGTGGCTGTCAGCCTTTCCACTGCCTGCCTTTCTAAGTGGAAAGCTATTTCTTACATCCCATAAGGCTGCTGTTCTTTGACTCCCTAATTGATTGAAGATCAAACCCAAGCACCCCCCATTATATTTGTCACATGCACCTGCTTGTAATTCAGAGCCATGAGGTCCCAATGCCTTCTCAGCTGACGTGAAACGTACACAACGCTGCCTTTGCCTTCCTTCTTTTGCTTGGCCTCTTCCTGCAGTGCTCCCAAACAGTCCACCCTGGTGCTGCCCTGGGACGAGAGCTGCGTGACATCCTCGTCCCGCTGGAGCTCAGTTTCGTGGCAGGAT